GTCAAACATTTAAACTACGATTTAACAAAACATAAAGAATAACAAATATAATTTAGAACTATTTAACGTATGAATTTGAAAGGTAATTAGTTTAGATGCTTTTGTCAGTTTCACTTACACACCATTCGATACATTAAAAAATAGATTCAACACCTTTTTCTTCCTCTTCTGTTTTTGTTTTCAAGTTATAAAGAAAGAAAAAAATGCTCGCTGTTAAATAACTTAGAATTTCTCGGGATCAAAATTCCGAGAGCTAAGAAATCAAGGAAATAATTATAAATCTACGTCGAATGTAGGATTGAATTTTGGAAATTTATCAATGTTCTCCATAATGTTACTGTATACATGTACAGTGTAAATGTATCGATCGCCGCAAAACAACAATAATCGATTATGAAATTCCATTACTGTATTGGAATATATACAAGGGGTGGGGCTTACTGGCGGCGTGATTAAAGCGGGGTCCGCTCCACGCATAAATCGGTCCCGGAAAGCGAACGCCGGGTTCGTTCTAGCGGACTCAGAGCTGACCCCGAGCGAACGCGGAGCGAACCCAAAGTGCACCCAGAGCGGTCCCAAAATTTCTGAAAACGAACCCGAAGCGGACCCGAGCGAACCCGCAAAGCGAACTCAGGTCCGCTCCGGGTTCGCTCTGGTGTTAGGTTGTGTACGGTCGGTACTGTAAATAGCAATAGCCACGTTTTAAAGACCCAATTTTTTTTACCGTACGGTTACCTGAGGAGGGGGAGTGGTCGAAGTAACAGTGGTGTTATTTACCTGGAGACCCCAATACCCAAGCTGTCAAAAATCTGTGTATACGTAGCATTACACAGGAAGTCTGTGTTTGGTAATCAGGGTCATCATTACGTGTTTTTTTGTGTCCGGTTTTGAGCGAAACTACGTAAAATTATTATTCTAATATGAAATTTATTTGTAAATTTAACGCATTCATCGTAATCATGGCAATGTTTTGAAGGAAAAAAAAATAATAAGATACATGTAACGTTTTATCGTTTTAGAAAATGTTTTCCTTACATTAAAGAAGAAATCACGAGTAAAAACTAAAAATCAATAATATTTGTCTTTTTTAATCTTCAATTAAAAAAATCACTTGATTCAAAAAGTCTGAATTTTGAAATAAAAAAAATTATTAATCCACCTATCCATCTTGCATGCGAACATGCATTTACCGCGATCGGAATGTTTTTTTCCCCTGACTAACAGTGTTGTCCAAAATATTCATTTTTTTGTTCTTCATGTGTTAACAAAATATTTATTGTTGGAAAGATTTCTTTTCAGAATTGATCATTATTAATTATCTTCACATTTTCATTACGTATATATACAGACGCTAGAGGAAATTCGAGCATTAATTCAGACATCAATTTCTGTACAAAATCGTGCGGATTGTAGCCATAGTACAAAACAAAACATCTTTTAAAAACTATGCTATGCCGTTTATTAGTGCTGAATATATTTCTTATATACCATTTCTTAAAAAATATTTTAAATCATCGGACTTCCAATTACGGCAAATACAGCCGGTTTCTGTGGACGCGGTCTCTTTTCTACAGGTAACGTGGACGATTTTAAAACACTTACAAGTAACAAACAGCAGTGAAGATAGAAAAGAAATATTTTATAATGTCAATGTTTTAATAATCTACTCTCAATTATTTTTTTGAAATAAAATTCAAACATATTGGAGTTTTCTAACCCGCGTGTATACTATGCGGCTACATGAAAGAGTTTGACGCGTGACCAGGTAATTGTTTTCAAAACATGCAAACTCGGATTATCAGGAAGCACAGGTAGCTGACCTGTCAATCAAATCAGAAGCTATTGTTTTCTTTATGATAGACAGGCGGTAAATTATGGATCTTGAATCAGGTAGATTTTGGGGGCGTTAACATAAAATTGGGTGTTTAAGCTATCATTTCACACGGTCTATGGTCGATGCAATGAAAAGTAAGCAACGACAATCTATTATTTAATTAAATGCTGACTCAGGTTTTATTTTTTTTTTCTGTGGAAATCTTCACAATCTTTCGTTGCAATTTTTTTTAAAAATTTTTATAAGTTTTAATCTAAAAATGAAGTGCTTATGTGTATAACTAAATAAACATTAGTTCGTATTCTTAATGTTAAATTGGATATTGAATTTTGAAATATACTCAGTGAACGGAAGTTTAAAATTAGCATATAATGAGAAGTAAAGGCGGCATTTCTATTTAGATAAAGAGTTATTTAAGGTATTGAAATGAAGAAAAAATATTAGTTTGACAGAAATTTTTGAAATCCAGGATCTTCCTTAAACAAAAGTAAAATTCGTCACAAAGTATTTAAAGTATTTTTTGGTCAAAATATTCAATGGGCGTCCTTTATCTTTCGTATATTTTAAGGTTTTATTAGGATACCTTTTTATACTGCATATGTCAAACAGGGTTAAACTCTATACAAATAACAAATACATAACTTAATTCATAAGGTGTATTTCATAAAAAAATTAAATTTTTATCAAGAAAAAAGTTACTTACTAAGCGAATTCATCACAGCGATCAGCTGATTCTTGTGTAGAATGCACGTGGTAGCCAGTATCCCGACACCCATGAACGCTTTTACATTTTTCCAATGTTTGCTTTGCATGGGCCCTGTGAACAAAGCACTAAAATGATGACATGAATAACGTTAAAAGAAATTATTAAAGATAAACATGATTCGTAAAACGAATGTGTTCTCCATTTTGGATCGCATATACGCTATATCTAAGGTCCCCTATATAAAAGGACTTACATATTGTTCAGTGTAATCAGTCATGACCGATGTGGATGGAGGCATGCTATATAGCACAAAATATAACTTGATACTTCTGATGATAGAGGGAACTGTGAACTACAAATCATGATCTAGCTATTATTTCTATCTTAAATTGAACAAAATGCGGGTAAATGAAAGAGAGGATATAATAAGAATTAATCACTTTAAAAAGAAATGCACTAAATGTATCAAAAAATCTATTGGTATCCGCTTGTTGAAAATGAGATTTAAAAAAAATGGGAATGAATAGGAGACATCTTAAATAGCCTGTGCCTATTTAAGAATCTTGTTCAGCTTTAAATTGTCGCAACGTCTCCGTAATTGTTGGGACACAGGGAAACCAAAAGATTGAAAAAAACTAGAGGTACTGTGAGCAATGAGCTCACTAAATGATACCCCCGCCTCACATAATGTCCTTGTGTTGCTATATATTATTTTACGGTAATGTGTAAAGAGGAATAACTCGTCCTATCAAATGTTATCCAGAAGCTTCTATATGTGACGTCATAGGTAAACATATAATAGCAATGTCCATGTTTTTCTATGGGAAACCTAAAATACGTATCGAATAAAAAGTAAAATAGGAGGTGCACAATGGCAATATGTAATAAAGATTCTGTGAAAGTTTCATTAAATTTCACTCATTAGTATAAGAGGAGTTGCGGATAAAAAAAGATAAAGCGTAACAGACGGACGGACGTACGGACGGACATACCGATTACAGTATACCCTCCCACTTTTCAAGCGGGGGGTATAACAATGTACGGTATATCCTTTTGTTACAAATATTTATTGAATTCGACCAATTACGTGTATGGAAACTGCACTCTACCACAGTACACAAGACAGTGTGGGCATAATACATCAAATGTTCACAGTGGTCTAGATTTATTTCAAATCAATTTTTACATAAAATTTCATACCAGTAATCTTAAATCTATTCAGTGTTTAATTAAATGCTATTTTTTTATATTATGTTAATTTCTTTTTAATACCCCCCGCTTGAAAAGTGGGAGGGTATATAGTAATCGGGATTTCCGTCCGTCTGTCCGTCTGTTACGCTTTGGGGTACCCATCTCTTATCCGTAACTCCTCTTATACCACTGAGTAAAATCAGCAAAACATGGAATTTTGCCATTATAACTATATGGGAGACGGGGGGTATCATTTAGTGAGCTCATCGCTCACAGTACCTCTAGTTGTATTTTACTTTGCTTAACTTTAAAGAATTTTTATACATTATTAAATGATAAAATGGTCAAATAAATTATTATAAAAAAAATACAAGATAGTGAACGAAATTGGTGTATAGAATTCATGACATAATATTTAAGTAGTTTTACCGTTGATTACAATCCTTAGCTTCTGATTCACTTGAATGTTCATGTCCTTCATTACACCTGAAATATTTGACATGACACAAAAGAACATATATTATCATATAAACGTTATGTAATTATTTCTGAACAATTTTTGAGGTTTTCAGAGCTAAAATAAACATGTTGATACACAGTTTATAAACCAACACAATGTATAAGCGCACATACTTTTTTTTAAAATTTAGTGTCATTTTGTTAAAGTTCTCGAATTTCGACATAGAAAGCGAAAATATTGCAACGTCTTTTTGAAGATAACTTGAAAGTGATTCCAGAAAATCACAATCAACTTGGTATTGAGGGAAATCAGATGATAATGAACATGAATTCAAAATCTGCATGAAATAAACTACTATAACCATTATAAGATTTTTTAAATAGAACAAGATGTGTTTGTGAAACCCCCGTATGGCATCATAGTGGAGATTAAACTTTACTTACATGCATGCAAATTAACCTGAAATATCCCTCTGCTCCAAAGAACTGCAAATTCAATTTTCAAAAGTTAATAAGATATTCTAATCTTTTTTGATATTGATATAAGGATTGTCTTAAGACACTACTTCTTTGCAATTTGGAAAACAACGAGAGATAACTCTAAAATTTTGGTAAAACTTTTGGTTTTTCGCTATAGAAAAATGGAAAACGGAAAATATTTTTAAAACATCCCCACCCTTTCATGAAACAAAAATTCCTTTGTACGGGTAATATAGACTGTTATATCACAAATTCATACCAAAGCATTTTGTGTTTCATAGAGGGGGATATGTTTATAAAAAAAAATAAATAGAAATAAAATAAACGACAAAAATGCTTCTTTTTCAGCAATTTTCAAGTGCTTTACAACTGAAACAGTATATTTCACTAAAATATATGCTTATTCTTATATGCATAAAACATAAGAAAAGATTTAAGAAACATTCATTTACACTTCTAAGTAAGACTATTTCATAAGGTGATGCTTCACAGCCCTAATTCAGTGGAAAATATTCTATATCCGTCTTATCTAAAGAGCTTCAATTAGAGATATTTTACTATCTAGTACTGGAAATAAAATTATCAATCAATCAATTACTATTGAACTGTTCTTTGTATTAAACAAAGATTTTATGGCAAAATTGTCATCAATATTGAATTTAATGCAGTTAAAAATATGTGTAGTGAAACAAAATACAAATTAAATGTTAATAAAAAAATCTGCATCTAAAATTTATACAAAATTTAAAAGACATACGTTAAGAGATACGAGTGTAGAAATATCTCAATTTACACTGTTTAAGGGAACTTGGTATACATGTTTTTGGTAAACTTTTATAAATATTTGATGAAATATTGGCAATAGAAACTAGAAAACAACATCTGCCCAATAGAACGGAATAAGTCTTGCTTAAGTTGACTATGAATTGGTCCTCATTGATGAATTCTTTAAAATCTGACAAGACAATTCATCGAATATCATGAAAATTTGTCCTCAGAAAGTTATCTGTCTGATCAGAGGATTATCAGAGGAATAGATACTCCACCTTAAATTATGTTGGTACCCAAAGTAAGATCTTGTCACAAGAAATATAATTGTGAAAGCCCTAGCACTACCTGTTTAAATGGTAGTTCGTGAGAGAACACCCTTCTTTGGATACAAATGTTTTTTGATTTGCATAACAGGGTCATAATTGTTTCACAAACACATGCTGTTCCTTATAACTTATATTTGAGAAGAGATATAGGGCTTTCATAGGGGTGATCAAAAAGTTCGCTAACTAATTCTCTATTTTCAAAACCACAATTAAGAACAGAATGAAATTTTGTAGACATGGTGTCATGCACATGTTCTATAAATAGGAGATATAATGAAATAAACGAGTCTCCAAAGACAGGGGACTTGCACATGCGTTTTATTGGTCGCCATGCTCATTCTGGAAAAAAGATATCATTATTCATACATAGCATTTCCGAGATAGGCCATTCTGACAAATGGACTGTTTTTGTTATAAAAAATAATTTACATGGTATGGTAGGTAGATGGTAATAATATGTACAGAATCTATCTTAACATTTTCATTTTATTTGTTTAGAAAGAGTAGTAACGGTGGTGTAGTATATAAAAACAACCTAAACTTATGCCTTTTAACTTATTTCAATGGCATGAAATAAGTGTGTCGTCCTTTCTACCTCCTTCAGTTTAGTTTAGTTTCGTTTAGTTTGCATATAGTTATGAAACACATTCCGAAATATAAATGAAAATAAAAATGAACAGTTGTAGTGTTTAATAGGTTATAAATAATCAAATAGTCTGTCTTATCTCATCAAAGAAAGGTATATTCTCTATAAGGCCATTTTCTGACCGACCTACGATAAAATCACTTTAAAATGCGATTTTACATATCTGGTAACTATAATCATTTTATTTCATGATCTGATGTTTGTTTTTCAACATCGGTCTCCTAAGTCACGTGATTTAAAGATCACAAATGGCCATAAGCTAAAGAAAGATTGAGGGTAGGTCTATCCACATCAATATTCTACGCATGTTTCTGAATGCAAATGTTCAAAAAAAATATTTATGTTGAAAACACATCAAACTTTAGTAATAATTTTAAAGATTTTTTTTAATTTAACACTGAAGATAATATTTTTGACAAGAATTTTGATGCATCTATATTTTGCATATTTTGAATGTTTTTATTTGCATGCCATAACCAACTTAATGATTTGTTATTCACTTTTTATGTTTTAAAGAAATTTACATTCATGCAAATTTTGAGTTTTACCATTACTCTAATGCTAGTACGGACCGATAGTACCTGACTTTGTGACCTCTATATCATTACAAATAATATCGTGATATTAACCAATCAATATTTATCATTAAATTGGAGCATTAGCTTACTGATTCGTGCAATGTTAAAAAGAAAAAAATACAATCTGAAAATCTGAAGATATTGCAAAACGGCCTTACAAAGAATGATCTTTTATTCTGCACCGATACTTTGCGACCCTATATCATAACAAATACCATTGTTTCGTTAACCAATCTATAGTTATCATTAAAGTGGAATCTAAACCTACTGATTCGTGCAATTTTGAAGAAAAAATACCATCTGCAAATCTGGGCACTGTAGGCCGCAAAACCGCCGTATAGGGAATGATCTTTTATTCTGCACTCATAACATATTTGATATTTGTATAACCATAACACCGTTACAATGATTTTAAGAACTTCGATGTAGATAAAACATTACATTTAAATTAATTAAGAAATAACGTATGTTCAACGTTTTTGGACATTCGTACCAAGAACCTGCAAATATTTGTAATAAGTTCGTAGATATTTGTAATAAGTTTGTAGATAGTTCTATGAATCTGCAACAAATATATTCAAAATATATAACAAAAATGTTGGAAGAAAAAAGTGGGAAAATGAGTTTTAAAAAGAAACCTCTGAGAGCATACAATGGTTGCGTGGCTGCGAAGTTTCTTTAATCTCGCAACAGCGACAAAATTTGAAAAAAAGGTTCTATGCACTAGCCTTGGGCTAGTGTCATACGAAATATCATAAAGATTTTGAAAGCCACCTACAAGAAAAACGAGTAAAAACTTATGATCATTAAAACTAATAACCAAACTACACGTGGATGAAGCGATAAAAAAGGAGCAATCGAATCCAATATTTTTGCGGAAACCACTTGAGAGTACATGTACGTAGATGATTAAAACAATTGAGCTGCACGGTAAAAAAATGGGTCTTAAATTGCTAAAATTTAATTTGCTGGACGACAGCTTGAATATTTTCCCGGTAAACTACATTAAACATAGCTATAATTCATTTATATGCAATATTCCATGAGGTTCGCAGCACTTTTCAAAATCTTAATGTTTCTTAAGTTTATGAATAAAAACTTTGCAAGATACATTGAGGGTATGCCCTAGGAATAAATCGATTTTTAGGGCCCTTCTATTACTTTTTCAATGAATCTGCATACAAACAAACGACAGTATCAATTGTCTGGAGAATATACGGATACTATACAAATAAAATAGTAAAATAGGCACTGCATCCAAGTGTACGGCATTTTATATAACTGCAAATAATATTTTATTTGAGAACAAAAGCCATTTTTTATTGTACAAAATGTGACTTGATCAGCCTCTCACTGTGTACAAACTGCATCATTTTTGCGAGATGACGTCACATTGACAAGTGCATTGCGATCAATGAATCGTTTAAATATTGTGGTGTGGGATTTAATAATCGACAAACCTGCATGTAATAGTAAGTGTTTAAGTAGTCTACAGCTATCCAGCAGTTTGAAATTATAGCAAATAATTTCATTTTGTGGCATTTTGAAGACTTTATATTTTGTGTGACGTTATAGTAAACATTTCCTGTATAAATTAGTCTCCGCCTCTTTACTGTAACTGCGAATCTAGAAAATTTTGAATGTTGACTTCACACCTAGAGTTTCTAATATCAATTTCTAAAAAGTTTCATCAAGATTGCACATCTTAACATTGTTTTCTGTACCGTTTCCTTGGCAACTGTGAGCGACCATTTACATTTTCAAAAAAAAAAAAGAAAAAAAAAGGAAGAAAAAGAAATAACTTTGACACATTGCAAAGAATTATCCTTAAAAGTTTCAAAACGATTGCCTGAGCAGTTACTGGGAAAATCAAAGTTAAAGAATCTTCACTTGTTCCCTGTTTCAATCGCAAAACATGATAATATGAAATTTTTAAATGCAAATCCCACAATTTAAAATTACAAATCACGATTCGATTTCTATAAAGTTTTATTACGAATGTTCAAGGGACAAAGGGAACAAAATTTGTCGACAACGGTAGTCATTCTGAAGCTGAACGTCCACACTGCAAAACTAGTTTGATCGTCTTTTGTAGAATGTTTCAGGAAAATTGTCCCAGTCATCTCCGAGAACTAGCCCGAACAATGTTTTTAGGCGAACAATAACAATATGTCGCCCAACATAGTTCGAAACGACATAAGAAAATGGATAAAAATGATATGTCTTCTTTTGGAAAAGAAAATATAATTATTATTAAGACTTACCTGTGAACTACATGTTTGTTACTACTGCTACCCATTCTGGATCTGCAATAAAAACAAATAAACGAGTAATACACCGTTCTGCTGTGAATATATACCATCATGTTAATATACACAAGTTCAGTTACGGCAGATGCACGGATAAATAGGAAGTTGACATCAATTCTATACAAAAAAAGTGTCATCATATTGTATGCCTCATCAAAAAGTGTGCTAAAGTTATAAACATCTGGGATGCGTAGTTGCTGAGAAAACTGCGACAAAAATCTATTAGATATGGTACAGACGCACGGATATACAGGAAGTTGACATCAGATTTGATCATTAATGCATACCACCATATGGCATGTCTAAGCAAACAGTGATCTTAAATTTCAAGTAAATGCGATGATAAGTTGTTTGAGAAAACTCCTACGAAAATGTGTCATGTATTAGACGGACGAAAGCACTGACAAAAAGGAAGTTGACATCAGTTTTGAGCAAAAATTAATCCGATTATATGGAATGCCTCAGCAAAGAATGTGATAAATTTTCAAGCATTCGCTATGAGTAGTTGCTGTGAAAACTGCGACGAAAATTTCTCAGCTATGTTAAGGACCGATATGGAAAATGTGACCTTTGCACCGTTTTAATATGTATTATTCTTTTTTAAAAATTGTAACAAAGCAACGGAATACTTGTAGAAAATGTAATATGGCTATCAATGATGGATAGGACTGGGCCGTAGTTATTACTTGTTATATCGAGCGTATCAGCTGTTTGTCACGTGACTTGTATAAAAATAGAATTGTTAAGATGAATGTAGGAAATGGGGATAGTGTAAGGGCATACGCTTGTTTTTCAAGAAAAATATTGATACACATCAAAAGATGTTTATTTCCTCTACCCAAAAAGTGCTGGGAGCTAGTCAGTGCTGCTTGCGAAGTACTGAAAATTTTGCCGAAAATGCTCATAATAGCTAAAGATTTCTACTTCGCTTAAATTCTGTTATAAATAAAAATAATGTTATGCAGACCAAGATAAGCTCCCAGCACTTTTCAAAATATACACTATATAAAAAATTAATATTCCATATTTCAGCTCAAACAAAATAGTCTATACCCTTGCACTTTTGACGTAAATCACGAATACGCCGCTCACCGTTTTAGCGATATTCTCTACATTCCTTGTCCCTGTGCAGCTCCATTGCTATATACTAGATAAATTCATATTTTATACACATTGTATTTAATTTTTTTTCTTTTAGATTTAATGATTAGGTTTAAAAATTAGCAATGGTACCATATTTATTTAAGCATTCTTGTAATTATTAAACCAGTGAATCGAGTCCTCTGGATCACATGTGCTGCGTCATGTCAAGGCTGATGACGTCATATTTGACGAGGGACTTAAATTCTTCTATTACTCGACTGTATTGCTATCAAGTATTGCAATTTTACAAGATTTTATAATCGATAAAATAAATAAATTATTTATGCATGATCATGTCGTTTATTAATTTTTGTGGCTTGTTAAATTTCAATGACGTCACAATTAAACTTCCAATATTGTTTATTGACCTTCCTTAACATAGCTGAGTTGTTATGTGTAGGGCAGATCGACAGACGCACGCATAAACAGGAAGTTGAGATCGGATTTTAGCAAAATGAATCATCATATTGCGTATCTAGCAAAGAAGTGTGCTAAAATTTCAAGCATCTGCAATGAGTAGTTGCTGAGAAATCTGTGAAATCTGAGAAATTTGTTTTGGAAAGACAGACAGCTAGACGAACGGACAAACACACAAGGGTAAAACAGCAGTCATCCCTCTCCTTAAGAGAGGGGATATAAAAATAAATTATGAAACATTTACACTAATTTTTATTTCATAGAGACTTGTATTGAATATTTCATGTTTGTAAATTCACCCTCCAATCAAAGTGGCTTTTTGACATTTCTGGCGAATCCCAAACTGCAATCATGTTACACTTTAAACATGAGTTTTCTGGTCTTATATCTTGTTGTACTGCATGTACATGTGTACCTCTTTTTCAGTAGGATTCTTTTTCATTTAAGAAACAAAAAATCACATGTTGACTCTAGATTCAGAAACAAACACTGAAATACACATACAAACACAATAACATACAGACATACTCTCCCATACAAATACACATCGAAGGGGGTGAAACAAATATCGGCATTAGATAAGTCCACATGTACATGTACAATACCGTAAATCTAAAATTTCTTACGTCAAATTGTATTTTGCAAATCTGGGTCAAGAAGCTGTTGATTAATATTTGTGATTAACATTTTTGCAAATTATCATCGGCACTAACATTAAAAAGCGTCCGAATTTCCATAAAGGTTTATAAGTCACGCGTGTTTAATCTGTCATGTTATGGTTTTGTTGCTAGATAAACAATTGGATCTTAATCTTGGAGAAATAAAGGGACATTATACATTTTGGCATGATAGTGAGGGAGACATGAAGATTTCCTCTCCCATGAAAAATCATATCATATCAATATGATTTTTCATGGACGAAAAAATCTTCATGTCTCCCGAACATTCATGCAATGAGTTGTTAAATATACCGAATCAAACACAGTTTAGGAAATATAAAGAAAGGTCCAATGAATAAAGTAAACATTTGATAAGAACAATATGAAACAGTTCTAAGTTATACCGCTAGCAGATCATAAAAAAAAATTTCACCACCATCAACATTCAAAACCCATATATATAAGAAGACTATTCTAAATATTCATATTTTAAATTAAGTTTAAATCGACACAATCAATCAACAATATAAACTATCTAACTCAGTAGTAACCTTATCAGTCGGTGCAATGTGACGTCAAAATCATGAAACACGACGTTTTGTGGCAGGGAAAACACGACGGTCACGTGACTGACTCGGCCAATCAAATTCTTTCTTACTAATGATTATTTATATGAGGTATAATAAATATACTCATGTCAAACCATTGGACAATATTAAATGTGGTAAGACGCTCTCCAAATACAAATATGACATATAAACGGGTGTCTTAAAAGACCACTGTTTTGTTCACATTTTTTGTTGTTGATTTATTAAAAAAAAAAAAAAAAAGATTTTTGCGAATGCAACGAACTCGCAAATTTGCTAAATATTTATCCTCAGTAAAAATGTCCAGACTTACGGTATATCAATAAAGAAATAAAACACCTATGCTAAATCATTTCGTTCATGAAGACATTTCCAATATAATAATTTGATCATCTTTTTTTTTCAATAATTCCCCAAATTACAATTTTTTCTCCATAATAAAATAATTATTGAGGAACAATAGGTACATTTCTTTCTTGATGTTTGAAAGATACTAAGACTGAGAAGTATACAGTAATAATATTCAAACCATCACCAATTTAATAAGTACAGAGTATCACATATATTAAATTCAAATATAATGTCAAATTTTAGTTAAAACCAATCTTCTAAGAATAAAGGCCGCCCGGGCGGCACAGTGGTTAAAGCGCCTGCTCTAGAGTCGCGAAGTAAGGAGTTGATCCTTACGTCGCGGGTTCGAATCCCACCATGGGACGTGGAGACCGGTCCTTCGGATGAACCCGTATAAACCGAAGTCCCCTGTCGCAGGAGGTTCTGGCATGAAGAAGATCCCCCACTGTTTAATGGCCCTAAGTGTAGTAATTTGTACAGCGGGAGCTCTCCACATGCAAGTCGTAGCGTCTCCGTATGAGTGAAAAATTCTGCGATAGGGACGTTAAACTACATGTTATTAATCAATCAAAGGATGGCTAGATTTCTTTACATTCAAAAAATAAATGTTTAAGTGACTCAGGTTCTTATGTGCTTAATGCGCACTGTGTATGATCAATAATGTTTGAAAAATACAAATATTTATTTACACCACTGTATTGAAACTATAAAAACGTATCTTTTGTTATACCCGCAATGCAAAAAGTCCCGCCTTTCACGAACTCCTCCTACATTTTACACAGTAGCCTATTCATCTTTTGGGAGATGGTTGGTGGTGTCATGTAGATGTGCAGTAAGGTTTCGGAATTTTAATTTTGTCCGGGGTTCAAACGGGGAAAAAAAATTACGTTTTTTTATGCAAAAAGTCCCGTCTTCCCTGAATTCCGCTTACATTTTACTCAGTAGTCTAATAATCTTTTAAGAGATGCTCATTGGTGTCATTCAGATGTGCAGTAAGGTTTCGGAATTTTGATTGTGGCCCGAAGGGGTCAAATTGGGGTCGAAAAATGACTTTTTTTTTTCCAAAAAGCCCCGTCTTCCCTGAACTCACCTTGCATTTTTCTTGGTAGCCTAACCATAATTTAAGAGAAAGTTGGTGGTGTCATGTAGATGTGCAATTAGGTTTGGGAATTTTCATTTTTACCCGGGGGGGGGGGGGGGGGTCAAATGGGGGTCGAAATCTTTTTTTTTTTATATTTGATATGATTAATCAAACTGCTTCCAAGAACTTCCCTAATATTCATGCATTAGCCTTAAATCATGATCATTTGAAAAAAGATGGTTTGTTTTGTGTATGTATAAAATGGTTTCAAAATTTGCATTTTCATTTTGATGGCAAAAAGAAGCAGGAAAAAATGGCCCCTCCCTAACCAAGGGGGGTATGATTTGTACAAACTTCAATCTACACCTGTTGAGAATGTCTTCATATTAATCATGCTTTCGTTGTTCTTGAAAAGAAGAATTTTTTAGATTTGTTTCCTTTTATTCCTAAATAAAAACTTTAATGCCTAATTGTGACCTGACCCTTGCCTTTGAGGTCATTATTTGAAAAAAACAAGAAATATGTCTATTGGACATGGAATCCCGCCGGATGTACATTACCAAATAAATGCTACATGAAAATTTGTATTAGTGTATAAAGTTTTATGAAAATATCTTAAACAGTTTCTTTAGAATTGAAACTAGAATCTAAATAAATGGGATAAAGATAATAAATTCTCAACAAATTATGTAGTGCATGCTAAACATAAAGATAGCTTAAAGTATTCCTTTAGAACTAAGCAGAATACAAATTAAAGAG